TAAAGTAAAGTAACGGTAAGTAAGTAGTAGTACGTACGTACCTACTACTACTACTTTACTTTACTTTTTAGAAAGTTTTTTCTTTTTTTGTTTTTTTAATGCAGGGTTGCAATAAATATGAGAATATTGTATTTAGAACTTGGTTTTAAATACAATGAGGTTCCAACTATAATATTTATTGTTTATCTATTACTGGCTATTAATTACTGTTTCACCCTGTTCTTAAGCTTTTTAAAGGAACCAAATTCCTGTAAGAAAGCTAACTTCAAGGGGTAATGATAACATCACTTATACTGGAATTATGATTTTTAAAAAATTACTACTAGTTTTTAATAATACTTATAAAAGCAGATACTCCACTTGAAACTATGTCGCCTATGATATTTACAAACATTTCCAGAACTTGTGACTCAGTCATTACATAGATATTGTTATAAAAGGAAACATTGTGTAGTATTGTAATGTTCTGATGACATATTGAGGAGATATTTAAAATACCATTTTGATGAACAATCCAAGCCATTCATACGTAGGGAGTGTTACTGCCTGCCTGACAAGACTGTAGTGAAAAGTGAACACACACTAATAGTCTTACCTTGGGTTTGAAAAACAGTAGTTTCAGTGGTTACATTATCTTTAACAGTGTTTGTTAATTGATTATATATTGCATATTAACATAATATATCATACAGATAACCAGGGCTCTTCATTTTCATGTATTTATTTAATCCCACCTTTATTCAGGTAAGATGGAAATAGTCCATTTAAATATTTAACTGTGGTAAACTGCACCTAATGATGGGCCAATCTTATCAGTGAGGATGATAAAAGCAGCCACAAAAGCTATTTAAAAGTCTTGGAGTACTATTATTTCAAACCCCAAGAATTTTAAAACTAAACTAAACTCCAACCCCAAATTCCAAAAACACCGAGTCCAAGAGAAGAAAAGAAGAAAAATAATATCAAATAAGTATCCAATGACTACATACATAAAAAAGAACATACACACACTTGTTTTACAGAAAGCAGATATGACAATCCCAATCAAACAAGTCATGTTTCCCTGTTAACACAACAGTTGCATACAAATTAAAAACAGTAATTCAGAAATTACAAACAATGATTCCTTAATAATAAACATTTACTTAAAATAAACAAACATACAAATTGTGGCCTTATGACAGGATGTTC